GACTAAAGCCTGTGCTATTGCCACAACACCGTGTTTATATCAATTTGGGAGATTTCCACAGTTTGAGGAACACAAAGGAGTTGAGGAATGGGGAAAACAGGGAGAACACATGGCTTCTAAATTTAGGGTTGGGAGATTCTGGACTCTACACAGGAGAACAAAATCCACTTTTGTGATAGAACAGGACATTTCTGCTCTCACCTAATTACCAATAGACCCAGAGAAAGAAAGAAAGAAAGAAAGAAAGAAAGAAAGAAAGAAAGAAAGAAAGAAAGAAAGAAAGAAAGAAAGAAATCTATGAAGGATCAGGACAGGGGGAAGTGGGGATGGGTATTAAGCACGGGAATTTCTTGTCATTGTTATGGCACTGGGAGCATGGGGCATAGGGGTGCGTCTAGAACGCAACAGTGGACATTCCAGGTATTTGTCTTCCTGCTAGAAGGGATGTTGGGAGTCTAGTGAGTCCAGGGATGGTCCAAGTGGTGGGGATTATAATCAGTGACAAGGCTTAGACTAGTGTTGTGTAGTAGAGATTTAACACAGGCCACGTATATCATTCAAAAATTTCTGCCCTTGCCAGTTTGGCTTAGTGGAGCATTGGTCCATGGACTGAAGAGTCCCAGGTTTGATTCCAGTCAAGGGCACATACCTCAGTTGTGAGCTCAGTCCCTGGCCCTGGTCAGGATGCATGCTGGAGGCAACCAATTGATGTGTCTCTCTCACATCGATGTTTTTCTCTCTCTCTGTCTCTCCCCTTCCCTTCCACTCTCTCTAAAAAAATCAATTGAAGAATGTCTTCACGTGAGGATTAACCACAACCACCATAAATTTTTTTTTTCTAGTATCCACTTAAAAAACAGTAAAAAGAACCAGGTGAAACTAACTTAAATAACATATTTTATATAACCTAATATATCCAAAATATTAGTTTCAACATAAAATTATATTTCAATATAAAATTATTTAAGAAATTTTTTTGCACAAAGTCTTTGAAATCTAATATGTAGTTTGTACTTACATCTCAGTTTATTCTACATTTCAAGTGTTTGATAGTCACATGTAGCTGGTGGCTACTACAGTGGGCAGTGCAGGCATAGAGTGTGCTTCACACCTGACTAGTCAGAGACAACAGGATGTTGAGCCCTGACATATTGGCTCACTTCCTAGATTTTTCTTATACCTTAAATTAGAAGTCATTGTTTCTACACCAGTTTCTACACCTCACAGGTCACAAGAACTGCATTTCTATTGCAGGGTCTGTGAAGTCCAGCTGCCCAGTAACTTCCACCTGCAACACTCTCCTTTAAGGTCCTTGTTGAGTCACCAGGTACCCTCAGCTGCTAATCCAGTGATTTTCAGGAGTCATCACCCTGGCCTCTCTGCCATACCCACCACTGCTAACCTCTCTCCTTGACTCCTCTTTCCTGAATTGCTTACTACCTCTCTGGTTGATTTGCCTGTCTTCTCTGTGACTCCCCATTCCTCATACTTCCTTCCACATTGTCAGTCTCCTGGGTGCTGCCTGTTGCCCTCTTACCCTCTTGCTCTACATGGGGGAGACCTAGGTAATCTTTCTCCACTCTCATCAATTTTACTTTCAAGGATCTTGTTTATTTCTCCAGTTCTACACTCTCTTGAACTCTGCACTTAAAATATCTATCCTTCTGCCTACTGGAAATCTCTCTCCATCAAAGACCCCAAAGACATTGAGAATTCAAAAGACAAAATTATACCAATCATCTTTTCCCTCAATGTTATTTCTCCATTTGTATTATTTAGTATTTATTTTAAAAAATAGATTTTTATTGATTTTTTACAGAGGAAGGGAGAGGGGTAAAGAGTAATAAACATCAATGAGAGAGAAACATCAATCAGCTGCCTCCTGCACACCTCCCACTGGGGATTCGCCTGCAATCAAGGCACATGCCCTTGACCGGATTTGAATCTGGGACCTTTCAATCTGCAGGCCGATGCTCTATCCTGAGCCAAATTGTCAGGGCCATTTGTATTATTTATTTGGTGACTGGCATCACTGGTTATCTGGACATTGAAATCAGAAACCTGGGATCAACTTGACTCCTTTTGTTCATGGAGGAGTGAGCTATTATTACTGAGTCCCATTAATTCCGTATTCTAAAGAATTCTGCCTCTTTACCTCTTGACACAGCTTAAGTTTGGTGCTCACCATTTTTGCCTGGGGCTATTACAGTGGTTCCCAACTGGTTTCTCTGGACTTTCATGATCTGCCAGTAGAGTGTAAGCTCCATGAGGGCAGGCATTCCTGCTTCCCAGTCCTAGAAAGATACCTGGCACATAGAGAGCACTCAGTATTTGTTGAGTGACTATATGAATAAATGTCTGTTAGTCCATCCTTCCAGTCTCACTTTCCACACCGTGTATGATCCTCACTCTATAGTCCTGCTTGAGTGTTTAGACTTCTGAGCGAGTTATGTCTTTGCACATTTTTCTCCTTCTGCCTGAACATGCTTGGCTCACAATTACTCATTTTTATTTTTTTTAATTTATTGATTTTTTACAGAGAGGAAGAGAGAGGGATAGAGAATTAGAAACATCAATGAGCAAGAATCATCAATCAGCTGCCTCCTGCACACCCCTCACTGGGGATGTGCCCGCAACCAAGGTACATGCCCCTGACTGGAATTGAACCCAGGACCTTTTAGTCTGCAGGCTGACGCTCTATCCACTGAGCCAAACTGGTTTCGGCCAATTACTGATTCTTTAAGACTCAGCCCCCATATTGTCACCCATGGAAAACTTTGTAACTTGTAAACATGATATAGTTTTTACAAAGTGCCCTATGTGGTCTCTTAAAAATAACTGAAGGAATTAAGTAGGAGGAGGTGTCCTTTGATTGGAAAGGAAAGTATGTGTTCTGGGGCTTCCAAAGGAGTGCCTATTTGGAGTGGTTCTGTAAAACTGGAGCCAGGGTGCCTTAGGACAGAAAAGGGGAAGTGGGACCAGACAGTGCAGACCCTGGCTGGCGCCCTCAGCAATCTGCTCTTCACATTCCCATGGTTACCAGGCAGCCACAGAGTTCCTGTGTGGGGGAGTGATGTTTGCATTCATTCATCTCCTACCAAACACTGATACCCTAGTTCCTATTTGCTGCTTCCTGGACTGACTTTTCTTCTCACACCAGGCTCTCAAGCCCATTCCGTTTGGATGCTGTATGGATGCTGGGAAGGAGGGAAAAATGAGCTGATCCAAGGGAAACGAATAGAAGGGCTGAGCTGCCAAATACCACACAGTAATTAGGAAAAAGAACTCAAATTGCAAGTATCTTTCCTCTCTGCCCAGGCAATCATTTACTCTTCCCTGAGCTTCCTGTGTCAGAGGCCAGGTCCTGGGTCCTGGGGTGGGCAAGAGATATGGCTCTAAATGTCCAGCCTGAAGGTGCAGATTGCACATCAGAAGACATGCAAGGGCAGAGCAAAGAGCAGCTGCGGACTCTAAACAGGTGGAAGGGTCTGGGGGGCTTCAAGAAAGGGAGCATGGAGCAGGCTTAGGAAGATGAAGCAGAACTGGGCTGGGGAGAAAGTGAGATGAGAACGACCCATGTCGCTTTGGAGGTGGAAAGTGAAACCTACACTGCAGTTTTCCCAAGTGCTTTTAGTCTGGCAGCCTGTGTGTCAATGGCCTGTGCAGCTGCCCACGAGGCTCCTGTGGGGGAAGGAGGTGTGTGTGCGTGGCAGAGGCTGTGGGTGGGAGCAAGGGCCCTGGGTTCCTGTGTCTTTCTTCCTCCTGTTTTGTACTAGGGGCCACCTTTCTGGAAGCGAGGATGTCTGGGTTCCAGCTTCTTCGCTCTCTAATCTCCCCAGACATAAATCACAAGTGATTTCATTAAATGCACCTCCTGCTGGGGATGTTGGCTCATAATTCCTCTCTGATTAACCCCCACTACCCCGGCAAGTTTATAGGCCAAGCATAGGAAGGGGTACAGGGGAGGGGGGAAGGAGGGTATGAGGGGAATCCCAGGCCAGTGATGGATGTCTCTGTCAGCCCAGCTCATATTTATTAATAGTCTTAATACGGGAAGCAATAAAGGAAGAGAGGGATTCTATTAATTAAATCATTGTTATAATTAACTTTCATTAAAGGAGGATCAATAAAGAGGAGTTGAGATGGAGAGAGGAGAGATCCATTATCTCTAATTTTCTTGGAAGGGATTCAGGGAATGAAATGGGGTTGCTAGGAGACAGCGATGTGAGGGAAGAAGGAAGGATGTAAGATGTCATTCAGGGGGGTGGATAGGAGGGTTTCAGGTGGATAGAAGAAACGGGGAGTGACAGTGGCCCACCCAGGGGCCCTAAAGGGAATGAAGGGTGGATAAAGGAGCTACTGGGATAGTGAACAACGGGGCTACAGGCATGGCTTGTACTGGTCATTCCTGAGGCCTTGATTAGCTTGCAGGTCCTTAATAAATGCTTTATGATGCTGTCTCTGGCCTGTGAAGCTGGTTAGAGTGGATGAATGTGTTTTCGTGACTGTGGAGTCAGAGTGCGCACACGTGTGTGTGAGGAAGAGAGGGAGGTAGAGATGGGAAGATTATCAAATAGTCTTTAGGGGTATAGGGTTTATTTTTTATAAAGTGGATACTCGAAGGTTTCCCCCTTGACAAAAGTAATGCCTGTCCTTTGGCCCAAGGTACAGTGATGGCTGCTATGGAGGTGAAGGTCTGAGTGGTGGAAACCACCCTTGCCTTCTAAGGCATGCACTTTGGCCCTATACCTGAGTCCCACTCTGGGACTAAACCCTGAGCAAGCCAATACCAACCCCCGGTTTGTTCCTCTTGCACTGCAGTATTCTCCAAGCCAGACCTCCACCTGGGACAAAAGGTTCCTCCCTCCTCCTCTTCCCACTGGTGGCCAGCACAGCACACATAATGGGATAATGCCGCCTGAAGTCCCCTCCCTCCCTGACCCCTCCACTGAGGCCAAAGAGCCAGGTGTCTGGTCCTTCTATGCTCTAGTCACACCTTATAATAAGAACACATTTTATTAGAAGAGTTATACATACCATATAAATATATTTGTCCAAACTACAGGTAGGGGGAGGGACACTGGGGAGAAAGCTCTACTGCTATGGGGAACCTGGAGAGGGAGGAAGGGCTGGGAAGTGGGAGAACCTGGGAGTCTTTGTTCCCCCATCCCTCACAGAAGGCACAATGCATTATTTCTTTCCATGTGAGGACTCTGGGGTGAGGGGGTTGGCATGGAGGGACAGAAGATAAGAGTACAGAAAAACCTCAAAAATACAAAAAGAAACCTCCAAACTTAACATCTAATGGTATGGAAAAGGCTGGGGTGGAGTGTGGAAGGCAATGGGGCGAGGGAGGGGGGCAGGAAGAGGAACCAATGAAGTTCAGAACTGAGAAACCTGAGGAGGTCATGATGTCCATGCTCTGCATCAATGCAGGCCCCAGAGGAGACTCAGGGGAACAAACACAGACCCCAAAGAAGAGAGGGTAGGGTACCCCAGGGATTGGCTTTGGGGCATCAGAGACTGTGAGAGTGTGTGTGCGCGCGCGTGCGCGCGCACACGCGCGCACTGGTGGTGGTGCTTGCAGTAGCTGGTGAGTGACAGAAGCAACCAGGGCTAGGAGGGGCAGGTTCTCCTCCCCCTGGGGAGGCCTCCTCCATTCTGGTTTCTTCCAAACCGCTTTCAGGGGATAAATTCAGCCATTCTTCCATGAAGGACCCCTCCCTGGACAAAAGGGCTGGTATGAGAGGTGAGGTTGGAGAGCTTGGAATAAAAACGGCACACGGGAGTGTTTCTTAGGGAACAGAATATCATGGAGCCCATTGTGTTGGAAAAGAGGCATGAGACCTATATGTGTGTCTGTGAGTGTGTGTATGTGTGTTTGTGCTTGTACTAGGGGGAGGAGAGATCACTCGAAGGTGAAGGGGTCCTGGGTGCTGAAGAAGAAGTGTCCATCCATGTGGTCCTCCAGGGCGTCCTTATCACTGTCAGCGGGGAAGCGCTCCCTACAAATAGGGCACTCCTTCCATGGGGGGGTGGCGGGGCCCCCAGTGCTGGCCTCTGACAAGGGACCCACTGCAAAGCCACTGAAGAGAGACAGAGGGGAAAGGAGAGGGTCAGTGTGCTCTGTTGCCTTACTGACTTGCAGACCTCAGGGAGAGGGACTCATGCACCTGGGTTCCCAGATTCTCCTGTTGCTAATACAGCAACCCGGTAGTTCTCTCTCTCTGAGCCTCTCCCATAGCATCTTTCTCCCCACGATGCTAGGGAGTTTCCCGGATCCCTGTGCCCTCCTTCTTGAGTCCTTGCTGGTCCCCATAGTGCAGTGCCCATCCCCCAACCTCTTGCTCTCCTCCCTCCATCTCTATCTGCTGCCTAATGGAGCTGAAAATGAGTCTGACACCGTCCTTCATCTTCCTGCTCCAGCTAAGGATGACAGCAGAACCCCACCCCACCCTGAGCCCATCTCATATCCGGGCAAAGCTGGGGACTAAGTGATAAAAGCTCTCTTCCCTCTGCCTTCCCCTCTTGACCTGCAGAAGGAAAGGAAGGCAGAGGGGGCAATCTAATACCTAAATCCCCCACCCCTGGGGCTTCACCACTCAAAGGGTCCCCCAGGGAAGTCAGGAAAGACACAGCATCTCAGGGGTGGTCAGATGGATGCTGGATCCCAGTCTCCTCTGTTCTTGCCCTGTGGGCTTTGTCTCCTACTTCCCTTCCTCCCCAGATGGAGCCTAGGAACCTACCTGGTGGCTGGGGAAGGGGTAGGGGGATGTAGGACAATTTGGGGTCCATGAATGATGGTGCTAGAAAACAGAAGTCAGTTAAAGGCAGGGCCTCTGAGTGCATGTGTGTTGATAAGCTGAGGGGAGGGATTACCCGAAGGCACCTGGGGTTTAGGAGAGTGGTGAATAATCTTCTGTGTTAACCACATCTATGCCTCCTTTACTTGGCTAGGGCCAAGAAGACAGAGGTTGGGGGAAGGGCAGGGACTGTTCACTTGGATATCCTTTCTGCTGGCATCCTCCTATCTCTCCTCTGGCCCCGTTTTTGCTCTCACCTGGCCATGTCATAGAAGGCACTGCCCAGCTCAGGAAGCAGCAGGTTGGCCTCTTCACCCCCATTCTGCACGGCTGCCATCAGGACGGACTTCTCATCCTCAGCCTCCTGGGCACCAAAGAGATAGGCTGTGTTCGGGGTGGTGTCCACGGTGGGGGAGTAGCAGGTTGGGCAGGTAAGGGGAGAACGGTCCGGGCCGTGACAGAGAACAGAGGGCTACAGGAAGAGCGGGGCAGGAAAGGTGTTTTGAAGGGAGCTGGTGGATAGAAGAAGATGAGTTGGGGAGTAGGGACTGGCAGTAGTAAGGCTATTGAGTGGGACTGGGTTGTGTGGTGGTGTCCATTGTTTGGCCTTGGAGAGAGGCTGGGCCTGCCTCCTCTCCCCCCCAAAAAATGAGAGCCTGAATGGCTGTCTTCCTGCTCTGGACGCTGGGCCACTTGAGCTTGGCCCTACCCCCTCCTCCCTGCCCCTGCTCACCGAGTCAGAGCTACTATCCTCAGCTGGCCCCGAGAGGTGGGGAGCGATGGGAGCTGGCTGGCTGATGACAACTAGGGGAGAAGCTTCTCGTGGCCCAGGAGGAGAGGAGCCTGGATTTCCATGTTCACACAGGCCATAAGGTGGGAGCCTCATGTCTTCTGGGGACTCATCCTCTGAGTCAGTCAGAGCTGCCGGGCAGCCTGTAGGTGAGGGAGTGGGAAGAGAAAGAAGGAAACGTTGTTAGAGGATGCATCAGCTCTGACTCCTTTGGATAACAGATATAGTTAAACTAGACAAGGGCCAGAGTCTGGGAAGAAAAAGGAAAAATACAGAGGGCAGAGGCAGCTCCCAGGGGTCACATGGAACTTTCCCCAACAGGGCAAGGTGGAGCGGGGAAGAAGTGTCACAAGATTGGGGGTGTCGTGTACTGACCCAGCCCTGCAACTGCCTCCTCATCCTCTGTAGCAGCATCCTCATTCCACTTCTCATCGGCCACCTTCTCAAGGCGGGCCTCCAGCTTTCTCATGTACTCCAGCAGTTCCTGGTGTTGGGGAGAAAAGAGGTGCAAGAGGATGGAAAGATGCCAACCTTGCTGACCTGAAGAAAGAACCTTCTGTGTTCAAGATTAACTCTGAGCTCTGAGGATTAGACACCTTCACTAAAGGTGGGGAAGCTTAAGATAGATCCTCACAGCCCCCAAGGGCCCTCCTTCACCCCCTACATCATCCTTTCCCCAGCACCCATCTCATCCTGCCAAATCAGCTGATAATGGTCCCGTTTTTAGCCTCAGGGTCCTCCTAGAGGTACCGGTTCCTAAGCCAAGAGAGTCAGTTTCTAGTCCTCAAGCCCTCAGTCTGGCCACCGGGGAGTTCTCACCTGCTTCTCCTCCTGCAACTGCTCCTTTTCCTTCTGGAGCACACGCAGGGCTGACCGCAGCTCTGTCAGCTCCCGCTTACTCTCTGACAACTGCACCTGAGGAAACGGCCAAATGGAATAGGAGCCTAAAATGTACCTCAAAGAACCTGGGTTCTGGGACTGGGACCCAACAGCCTAGAATCACGTCTCTGTGCCTTCGTTCCTCCCTTGCTCCAACACACACAGGGGAAGCCCCAACACTTTTTCCATGAGCCCCTTTCCTTGGCCACGGGAAGTTCAGACTCTGCTTCAGGAGTGTGGACCTGAAGGACTTGGGCCGGGTGCAGGGACATAGCAGGGGCATGGAAGGGGCAAGCCATAATTCTCCTAAGTCATCACTACTAGGCCCAAATGTGTGTCCTAAGAGCAGAAAGGGACACTGCATGTTTCAAACCAATGAAGGCTGGGAGATGTGCAAGTGCGATGTTGCCCAATGTATAACTGAGCCCCTTACACTTAAGAGGGGCACTGGCTCCAAGAGGCCATAGGACCAGGACTCGAGGGGGGGGAGGGGGAGTGGCTGGCGCCTCACCAGGCTAGCCTCCTTTTCGTGGGCCAGTTCAGTCTTGAGCACTTGATTCTGGGTCCTCTCCTCCTGAACTGCCTTCTCCAGCCGAAGTATCTCTGCACTCAGCTTCAGAATCTTGTCCTTCTCCGCCTAGGAAATGCCAGGAAGGAAATGGGAAGATGAAGGAAAAGGGACGCCACTGCCAATGGCACCATCCCCACGGTGACCTTCCTCTACCTTTGGGAGCGATTTCCCCTTCTTGCCTCCCCCACTCCCTCAAAACCGTGAATGAAGGAAGGAAGGGACCTGAAAGCAAGGGACCTTGCTGATCAGTAATGGGCATTAGGGCAAGGGTCTGGTGCCTAGAATGGTACCAAGGACAATGCTACAGAGATCAGGGTTGGGACACTCTGTTTAGGGATGAGTCACACCTGGACAGTGAAGTGTTCCTCCCTCACAGCCCCTCCCCACCTAAGTTTCTTGAGATCCCATTGCCCCTTTTCTGTCCTCCTAGGAGATCTGACACACACAGGAAGGGGTGATGGCTGTGAGCTTGCCAGGTCCCTCCATCCATCTACCTCCACACTCTGCAACATCCCTGCCCGCTCCTTGCTCCACTGGCTTTTTTCCTCCTTCAAATGCAGACTGAGCTCAGCCAGCCTGCCGTTGACTCCAGCCAGTTCCAGGCGGCTGCGGTGTAGGTCGGCTATGGTGCGGTCCCTGGCTCCCGCAGCGCTGGCCAGCTCCTCCCCAAGCAGGGTGGCTTTCTGCTGGCTTGAGGCTGCAAGCTCCTGGGCCCCTCGAAGCTGCTCCTTCAGGGGCTCCAGCTCAGCCTCAGAAGAAAGGAGAGAGGGAGATCAGGGCTCCCTTTGTGAACCAGGAAGATAATAACGAGGCTACCTCCTCCCCCACTGCATTAGGACTCAGGGTTGGGTTGTTTAGTTTTTAGTCATATCCTTCCCCAGACTCCGTAGTGAGTCCTTGCAGCTGTCTCTACTTCTTGGTGCCTGGCGGCTTCACTCACCACCCGCTGCTGGGCCTGGCTTAGGGTGTCCTTCATCTGAACCAACTTGTCTTTTAGTCGCTGGGTCTGCGCACCCTGCTCCTCCTGCCGGCCCTTGGCCTCCTGCAGCTCCGATTTCAAGCGACGATTCTCCTGTTGTGCCATTTGGAGCTCAGCCTGATGGAGGTGAACAGGTAAGGAAAGGGGTAGCCAGGAAGGTGAACCACTGTGATGAGAAGTCAAGGTTCCATTTCTCAGATTTAACACAAACTCAAGCATTCAGCTTTCACCACCCCTTCTTGGGTTCTCAGCTCAAAGTGGCTCAATCTTGAACATCCAGTCTCCAGCTCCCGAAGTGAGGATCCAGCGCTACAGCTTCGGGTCCTTCACAACTAGGTAGCCCGTGTCCCATCTCTGCTTCTCCACTTTTCCTTTTAAATAACTCAGTCTAGATGTCCTCCAGGTCCTGCAAACTCAGCATATTCTACCATAGGCCTTTCCTTTCTTATTTCTAATTCAAACTAATTCCCAAGTCACTTAAGCTGGACACCCTGGTGCTACGCTTGGTTCTGCTCTCCCCCTAGCAGCCCATAGAAAAGCCCAATGCCTCTCCATTCTCCATCTTGTTCACATCCATTTTCTCTTCTACTATCGCCACAACATGTTAGCTCAGGCTCTGGTCCTGTGTTGCTTGGAGTACTGAAAAACCTCACAACTAGCTCATTTTCCACAAGGCAATCTGATTAATCTTTGAGTACATGTCACCTACTTGAAAATCATCGATGCCTCTCACTGCTTACAGAAAAGATTAAACTCAAGATCGTCTACTATCTGACCAGGGCTTATCTCAAACTCTTCACCCACATATTCAACTGCCCTGAGTGTTCTGACTCTAAACCTTTACTCATGTTTTCCTCCGTTTCTAGAATGGCCTCCCTTCATCTCTGTCTACTCAAATTCTACCTTTTCATCACTGCCAAGCAAATGATTTTTAAACAACCTTCTACTGAAGCCTAGGATTCTGAGGAAGTCATTTAGAGGTTCTGAAAATATTTAATTTAAACTTCAAATATTTAAAAATATTAAAAATTATGTAAAAAATGCACACACAAGTTAACACAGTGGAGATCACCAATCCACTGTCATGTACTTCCAGGTTAATTCAATTCTTTTTTAAAATATATTTTTATTGACTTCAGAGAGTAAGGGAGAGGGAGAGAGAGAGAGATAGAAACATCAATGAGAGAGAATCACTGATCAGCTGCCTCCTGCATACCCCCTCCTATTGGGGATCAAGCCCACAACCTGGATGTGCCCTTAACCAGAATAGAACCTGGGACCCTTCAGTCTGCAGGCCGATGCTCTATCCACTAAGCCAAACAGGTTAGGGCCAGGTTAATTAATTTTTATGTAAATCTTAGAATAAAGTTTCTATTGAAGTGAAGAGCAAAATGAGATTGCAAGGTTGACAGTTTAAAAACTGTTATCAATTTGCACTTACTTGTGTGTGACTCAAGGTGTTCTCAATATTGTACAACTACTGTCTAACAAAATACTGTAACTAGCTATTGAGGCTGACAAAACAGTCATCCATAACCTCCAATTTCAAAGTTTGGTATCCATCAAAATTACCTAATTGCTTTTACTATCTTATACATTGAGTGGCCAGATTATTATAATCTCTGAACGCATAATAATCTGGCCACCCAGTGTGTGTGTGTACAGAGGCCTGGGCATGAATTCGTGCATGGGTGGGGTCTGGCCAGCCTGGCCAGGGGGAGAGAATATGGGCGGTTGGCTGGCCTGCCTGCTGGTTGCCTGGTTGAGGGGACAATTTACATATTAGCCTTTTATTATATAGGATATACACTGAGTGGCCAGATTATTATGCGTTCAGAAATCATAATAATCCAGCCATTCAGTGTATGTAAATGTTATACTTTTAAATTTATAAAAATAAACTTACAGTAATGAAATACTGCTGTTATTTATTGAGGTTCCACTTAAGATATAAAACTTCATTGATGCAGGAGAAAAGGTTCTGCTGCTAAAAAAGTTTAGAAATACTAAACTAGTTTATGTCCCCCTTTAAAAGTCCTTTCTAATGTCCCTAACAAAATGTGCTCCCATTCATCTCTGTGGAGCATCATCACACTTTATTACACTTCCCTGTTGATACTTCCTATATTCCCCTTTGACTGATCCTGACTTATGTGTATGACTTATGTTCCCCAGGAGAGTGTACACAATGTTTCTTTACATTTTTGTTGCCCTTCGTGCCCAGCACTCGAGAAAGAATTCAATAAACAGGGATGAACAATTGAGAAAACAAACCAACCCTGAGCCCTTACCTCGCTTTGCTCCTTGTCTGCTTGTACTTCCTTTAGTTGCCCAAGGAGCTTCTCTTGTTCCCGAGTCAGGGCCTTCACTGTGTCTCTAACCCTGTGAGTGGGGGACAGAATGCCAGATAAACAACTGATCACCAGAGAAGGAATGAAGGACTCCAGCTTCTGTCTGGAGCTCCTACTGCTGCTCCTCTGGGCCCAGACCCCTACTTCTCTCTGGGATCTCAAATTCCAAGCCCAAAGTACCCAAGACTCCTGATTCTAGAGCACAATCTAGAAATAAACAGTTTTTCTTTTCTCTTTATATATCAGTTTAAGAAATGTCCTGTCGATGGTTCCCTCATTGTTTTCACTCATTTAAGAGATCAGGATCCAGTCTTTTCTAGACAAGTGACAGTCACTGTTGATTGTAAACTTTTGGTCTAGGTGAGAAGTTGGCAGACTTTTTCTGTAAAAGGCCCAACAGTAAGTATTTTTGACTTTGTAGGCCATGGGGTTTCCATGGCAACCATTCAAATCTCACTGTAGTGAGGAATAAACCATAGATAATAAGTAAATAAGTGAGCATGGCTGTTCCAATAAAATTATATAGGCACTGAGAGTTTAAAATTTTTCAATTTATTGATTTGAGAGAGAGAGAGAGAGAGAGAGAGGGAGGGAGGGAGGGAAGGAGAGGCAGAAAGGGTGGAAGGGAGGAGAGACAGAAAAGGGAGGGAGGGAGGAGAGACAGAAAGCGAGGGAAGAAAAAGAGAGAGACAGAGAGAGAGAGAAGAGAGAGAGACTTTTTGTTGTTCTACTTATCCAAGTATCCCAATTATTGATTTTTGGATATGCCCTGATAGGGGATCAAACCTGCAACCTTGGCACATGGGGATGACGCTCTCAGCTACCCAGCCAGAGCATGAACCCTGAAATTTTAATTTCCCTTATTTTTCACATGTCAAAGATATTTCAACCATTAAAAACTCAAAATCATCTTTACCTTGTGGGTTGTACAAAAACAGGTGGCGTGTGAGATCTGGCACATGGGCCACTGTTTGCTGACCCTGGTCTAGACAGTCCCTAATCTTTTCCAGATGCTCAGTCTGATCCCTGCTGTTCTATTCCATGATTTAGAACCTAGACATTTAGTATCTCCCTAGGGCAAGACTAACATCCTGAACTGAAGAAGCCTCAGGGGTCAACTCACTTTTTACTCTGGGCCTTGGACAAAATGCCTCTTTCCTTTAAGAGTTCGAAAAAATAACAAATCTACCAGTACTGAATGAAAGAAACCTACGCTATTCAGTGGAAAAAAGAATTAGAATATTTCTCTTGAAGAACAGGCAAGGTCAGTATTTGTGTTACTTGGTAGAGATAATAGCTGTCTGCCAGAAGAAAGAAATTTATTCTGTGTGGCTTCAAAAGTCTAAGGCAGGACCACAGTATGAAAGTTACAGAATGGGAGAGCTGAATCAACACAAGAGGTACAAAAAGGACAGCTGTCCAGTAGTAAAGAGGCTGCCTCCAGAGGTAGTGATCTTCTCTTACATATCGTCTTGAATACCTTACATTACTCCCAATGCTAAAAATCTATAATTTATTCCATTTTTCAGGGCAGAGATTCCATAACAGTCATGGATCACCAGTTCTATCATTTCCTAATAGTGAGATCAAAGTCTAAGCTTATTCTTTGCTGTGGTATGATCCTAAATCCATCCTCTCTTGTGTTAACTGTTCTATCCATTTCACTTTTTTCAAATCCTCTACTCCTAGCTCCTGCTTAGTTTTTGCTACACAATAAATGGTAACTACAATTAATTCTGAAGGTGAGGAATACAGAGTAAGTTAGGAAAGATGGAAGAGAGCGAGGCAGAATAAAATATCCTCAGTCAATGAAATACCCTAAGAGAAGTTGAGAAAAGACAGAGAAACCACCTAAGAAAGAGCAGTTTGTGTGCCTGTAACAGGAAGCTGGAGTTCCGGGGTCACAGGAAATGCAATGGGGTACAGGAGGGCCCCTCACCTGTCCAGCTCCACCTCCTTTGTCAGCACTTTCTCACTGATGGTCTGGATGTCATCTTCCAGTTCCAGGATGTGTGCCACGTGATCTCCTTGTTGCCGGCTCAAGATGTCCCTCTCTTCTGTTAATTCCCCATGGGACCGGGAAAGCCCCTGGAATTAAGGTTCCCCCAGAATAGAAAAGTTGAGACTCGTTTAAAAGAGTAGAGCAAAGGCTTACAAGGAGCATACCAGAGTTTGTTCCAACCCTCTCATCCAATAACCTTTTTTGAAAAAGACACTTAAGGAAAAATTCCCTTACCAGCGGACACACCTACCCCAACCCTACCTCAGCATTCCTGTGTTCAGAGAACTGAGTCTTTTACAAATCTGGGACACGTCTCCTGTCATATCAAATTTAATCCTACTTGTTACACCTTAAGCCTATTTCTTGGATGTCAGAACCATCGTAAAAGCCCACTAAAATCTCCCTTTACCCTCTTCACTGGGTTAATATTTTGATCTCGGGTGAGCAGCCAGCCCTGTCCCACCCTGATCCTTGGGCAAATCCCACCTTGTACTGCTCTTTCAGTTCCGCGTGCTCCTGCCTGGCAGTCGCCAGAGCCGTCTCCAGCTCCTGAACTCGGCTCCTCAGCTCCGTGACCTGCCCCTCCAGCTGCAGCTTCAGCTGCATCAGGTCATTCCTCTCTTGCTGGCTCTCATCCAGCTGGTTCTACAGGGGCAGGAGGAGAAGAAGGTGGGCTTGTGCAGCACCATCCCATCACTCTGCAGATTCATTTCAGGATTGGGAAGATACATCAGCATAGGATACAAAGAGGCGAGTTGTGTGCTACTGGAGTCTGCCCACCACCCACCACCATTCCTCTTAAAAAAAATGTTTTTATTGATTTTAGAGAGGGAGAGAGGAAGGAAAGGAGAGGGAGAGAAAAAGAAAAACATCGATGTGAGAGAGAAACATCAATCGGTTGCCTCCCATTCGTGCACCACCCAGATTGAACCCCCAACCTAAGTATATGCCTTGACTGGGAAAAGAACTGGCAACCTTTTGGTGCACAGGATAACACTTGGCCAACCGAGCTACACCAACTAGGACCCCACTCCTCTTTTACTTCTTTTTTTTTTTGTTTGTGTGTGTTTTTTTTTCTCTTTTACTTCTTCCCACTCAAGGGCTGGCCCCTCCTTGGCTCAGCAATTGCAGAAATCTGGTAGAAATCTTTCTCAATTCACACAGACAAGACAGATGGCTCCCCTAATTTTAACCTATTGGTTCTGGAGTCAGACACTACATTTAAATCTCCAACACAATTTTTATGAGCTATGTGAATCTGAACAAGTGACTTAACTTCTCTTAATCTCTGTGTCATCTGTAAAGTGATCCCTTAGCCTAGGTCTGTGGTCAGCAAACTCATTAGTCAACAGAGCCAAATATCAACAGTAGAACGATTGAAATTTCTTTTGAGAGCCAAAATTTTTAAACTTAAACTTCTTCTAATGCCACTTCTTCAAAATAGACTCGCCCAGGATGTGGTATTTTTTGGAAGAGCCACACTCAAGGGGCCAAAGAGCTGAGTGTGGCTCGTGAGCCGCAGTTTGCCGACCAAGGCCTAGGTTGTTGCAAGATAATTGTAATGAGAATGATGAATATAAAAACAGAATACAGTGTAGAAGCTTACGTATCTCTGACTAATGTAAGATATAAACATCTTCCTTTTCTTGTGTTGATTACACGGTTAGAAGGTTCTAGAGGGCTGGAGTTTATCTAAACCAAAGACAAGCTACTCATTCTCTTCTTCTGACCTTCCTCAGCCGTCCTCTTGCCTGGGGAGTGTACTCCCTCCCCACCTAGCACTGGTCCACACCTTTCCTCAGGAAGTCTTCCTTGCTAACATCTGTCTCTACCCCCTAATTCTTCTCTATTTGGTTCAATCGAAAAATAATACAAAAAATATAAAATTTAAAATTTTATAGGAGACACTTAAAAATAAAGTACCGTATTTTTCAGACCATAAGACGCACTTTTTTCCCCCCAGAAGTGGGGGGAAAAAGTCCCTGTGTCTTATGGTCCAAATATAGCCTACACATATACTTTAAAAAAAAAGTTTTTTTACTTGCCCGGCTCTGTGTGGTCTCTGTGTGCTTGCCCAGCTCTAAAATGGTTCTAAATGCTGCTGTTTACTTTACAGGGTTGATTACATGTGTTTATGACTGTGATGTTGGGTTTTAATGCACATAAAATATTTTAGGACACTATTTGTTTCAGAATCTTTTTTCTTCATTTCCCTTCTCTAAAAACTAGTGCGTCTTATGGTCCGGTGCGTCTTATGGTCCGAAAAATACGGTACTAATAAGAAACAGATTATATTAATTTTAATAATATTTTATCTAACTCACTATCAAAACTATTATTTAAACATATAATAAATATAAAAATTATGGAGATCTTTATACTTTTTTTTTTTTTTTAAATACTAGGTCTTCCCAAAATCTAGTAAGTATTTTACCCACATAGTACATCTCGATTTGGACCAGTTACATTCCAAGCGTCAAGAGCCACATGAGGGTAGCACCTCCAGTCTAGGACAGCGCAGGCTGGGGCCCTATCTGCTTTCTCTCCTCACCTGTCCTGGAAGTGGGTTTCATCCTCCCCTTTCTATGGTCCTTCCTTCACTGGAGCGGCCTCCCTCTACCCTTTGTATCTCTAGGGCCTAGGGCAGGATGTAGCACTTGAAGAAGAAATGCTCAAAAAGCTGTTATGGAACCTTGAGTAACATCGGTTTGTGGGTGGCTTGCTTCCCTGCCCTACGTGTTCATGTCTATGTTAGATTGAGACTTTCTTGAAGGTAAGATTTAGTATAACTCCCAGTGAGGTCTCCAGTTGAAGCTACAGCCACGGGGAGGGTCCAGTGGGAAGGGCCCCCTTGCAATGCTGTCCTCCCACTCCCCTGCTGTTGCTCTATTCTCACCTGCAGCACAGTTGCCTTGGGGACAACCAGCAGGATGTCAGAGCCGCCATCAGTCTCCTCAAGAGTCACCAGTTCATCCATGGGCCTTGGCTCTCGAAACTGAAAAGGGGGGCTCTGTCCACACACCCGGCCCTGGCGATTCACATATCGAAACTGGTAAAGCTGGGCTCCTGGTTTGGGCAGGTAGCTGGCTGTGGGAAAAGAATGGACCCAGGACCACAGTATGAGCCCAGGCCCTCCAGTGCTCAGCGGGTCCCCTTGGTGTATTTTATTAGCGACTCTTTGGCTCTGCTCCCTTGCTTCCTGTTCCATATTCTGTTTTCTCTCCTCTCCACCTCCCATAGACTATTGCTGTTCCCTGGGATATTCTTCTGCCTAGTCCTCTCTTTCTCTCCCAAATCTTTCTTCCTCAATAACAGTAATAATAATAATAATAATGATAATAATAATAATAATATTTATTGAGTGCCCACCATGTACCAGAAACAGTGTTAACAGTTTTCCCTATGTCATTTAAAATCCTTTTATTAGCCCTATAAACCAGGCATCTCATTTTAATGTTAAGCTAATAGAAACATAGAGATTAAGTAATTTGCCCATTGTCAAACAGCTTATAAATATTAGAGCTAAGATTTGAACCCAGGTCTTTTAGAATCTAATGACCACCTTCTTCTCAATATATGGCACCACTTTTCCCTCTTCCCTACCCACCAGTTCCCCCTTCTTTCGGTAGGAGGTGGAATTAGTTGCACTGCACAGATCCTGCCATCTCTAAGTCCTTGATTCTATAACAACCCCATGTCTGCTGAGCCTGTCAGATATTTTTTTTGAGCTTATTTTTCCTTGTTCTCTGTGCCTAGTTTTGTGTTTCTGAGCCCACTTCCTTTTTCCAAACCTCTATCCTCCTTGACTCCTCCCTCCCGGTTCTCTATCTCCCCTTGTACCTTGGAACTGGACGCTGGCATGGACGGGGGAACCATCAGTTGCACTTTCAGGCACTGAAGACCACACAAACGTGTGGTAATCTCGCACACAGGCAGCCTCCACCTGTGAAAGTGCAAGGTGAGAGAGCGCTATGGTGATGGGACTACCAGCTATAGATGGCAGAAAGGGCCGAGGGACTGAATGGGAGAACAGGATTGTGTTACAGTGGCAAGGATGATGAAAGCCAGGGAAAGTGGGGGGACAATAATGTGTAAAAGAGAGCAAAGCTAAGATGGGGAGCTGAGCTTTGCTTATATATTGTAGATAACTCTCTGCCATCTGTGCCATCTTTTCCCTTCTTCTCTATCAACATGAGCTTGAGAATACAAGAGCCTAGTCATTCTTTCTATTCCAACCAACCCATGGCCCATAAACTTGAGCAGAAAGGGGTTCCAGATATACCTTAAAGATGCCAATCCAGTCACTGGCACTTGGCACGGTGCCTGGGGGAAGGGTGTAGTGACATTCCACCTTCGTATTGGGGATGTAGGTTCGGGCCACATTCAGAAAGCTGACTCCTCCCCGAGATGGTACCCGGCTTATTGATGATTCTTCCATCCTTCCCTTGAGATATGTGCCCTTCTAGAAAACAAAGAGTTAATATCCTAAAGTATCTCAAAGTTATTTTCCCCCCTTCACCTCCATCCACCCCTACACACAGCCCTTGCCATTATACCTGGAGGTGAAGTCATATTTAGTATCCAGTCCCTGAGGGTTATAGGTCCCTTTTAGAGATGTCACTCTTAGTCTGAAGGACCTAAGGCTGGCCTTCCATGTCAACCCTGGCCCTGTCTCATACTACTCCCATTCTAAGTCATAAACTCTTCCTACAGTTAATTTTGCTTGTTTTTCACTGCCCCATTGATCAAGTCTCAGTATCCTAGGCTCCTCAGTCCCTCTTTTCCCATCTTTTAACATCTTTGAGGATTCCAAGTTCTTCAGGCTCCATGTCCGCATTCCATCCCCCACATCTCTGGTTCCTGAGTTAAAAATCCATCTGAGGTGTGGAGCCCCCTCATTCTGAGGTCTCCCTGTGCCTGAGCTTGTTGACCCAACTGCGCAGGAATGATTACGACACCTGGAAATAGCAACAAATCTCTGAAAGTAATGACTGCACCTCCAGAGCTAAAACATGGCTGAGGGTGGAGAGACAACCCAATCCTCAGGGCCATGAGCTCTCATTCTCTTCCCGTCTCTGAGCTGGCTAATCCCATGAGTTAAAAAAAAAAAAAAAAATCAAACAAAACAGCTTCCACTCTCATCTAAGAGACAAAGAGAAAGGGAGGATATAAGGAAAGACAGGTTCTGTCCTCAAGTTCATTAGTTCAGGAAGTCAAGAATTCTGGAGGCGGCTGCTATAAGGGTGGAGTGAAGCACTGAGCAGGAACGTGGTGTGGGGAGATGGAATGTGGGGGCCTAGAGCCAGGAAAGCCCCACCCCTGGGCAGGGGACAGGCTGGAAGGTGGGAAGTAAGGAGCCCTGAGAAGGGAAAATTTACATATAATGTTGAGAGAGGGAAGAGATAGTTCAAAAAGAACTTAAACATTCTTCTTTTCAGGCAAACTGGTTTGACTCTATGTAACCCAGTTCTGGTATATCCCTCCCTATTTTCTCTCTGCTCCCCTCATCTCAATTCTAAGTGTTGAATTCCTCCATTCCTCCACCTGCTTGGATTGACAGTTGGAAGCACACTATAGGATGAAAGTGAGAGGAAGAGGTGTTCCAAGTTAGGTGGGGAGAAGAACAATAACAATCAACAGAGCTCTTCAGCCTAGGGCTGTGAGATGGCCCTCCTCATCCACTCTTTAGCCCACTGATCTACATCCTGTGTCAGCCACAGCCGCCTGCCTCCAATCAGCCAGGCCACTCGTCATGTGCACACCCCCAAACATCACAACCCTACACCAGGTTGAAGTAAGGGGGATAGGAACTTTAAAAAAAGAAAGTCACTCATCAGAGAAGGAAAGGTGGGCCAGCAGTACAAAAAAGAACTTTTTAACTGAATTGAGGAAAATAGGTTTCTTTAGATTTTTCATCTCTCTTAAACATCCCTAGTTGGATTACTGCTGATCCCCAGTAAGGGCTGTGCAGGAGGCAGCCAATCAATTATTCTCTCTCCTTATTGATGTTTCTCTTTCTCTTCATCTCCTTTTCTCTCTGAAATCAATAAAAATATAACAAAAAAACTAGTTCATATTTTCTTCAAATACAATTCTCTGGATCCCTAAGGGGGCATATATTATCCCAAAGATCTAAGCCTGGGGAATCCCAAATACTTGCCACAAATAAAATTCTTAAGAGTTGGAAACATTTCCCAGGCCTAAAAGAGAGCTCTGTACGTGTGCAATCAAACTGATGTGTTCGCATGGTGGGATACCACCATCCCACTCTGTAAGGCTCTGGAGTTCCTTGACGTTCTACACCTTGGAAGGTTTTCCCCGAGCCCCGCAGCGAGTCAAGCGTAGCAAAGGCCTTTGGATTGGCGAGGGGTGTGGGGGCGGTAAGGGGAAAGCGAAGGTTGTGAGGGCCAAGTCTTGCATGGGGAAGAATGAGTAAATAGTTCAGTCTCTCCCCAACTCCCTTAAGCGTATCAAGCTTTTTCTGAGAAGGACAGAGAGGAAGGTGAGAACAGTGAGGGGCGGCATCCCTTTGATTAGGGCCCCCCTTCGAGACCAAGAACTCCCACGACAGTGGGGCTGGCTTCTCCCGTACGGAAAGTATTAAAACCCAAACGTTTCTGCAACCCCTTCCTACAGTCCCCTTAGTTTATCCTTTCATGGACTGAAAGTGGGGTGACTCCCCATAAGATCCCCCCAAATTAGGCCAAGTTTCTTACCCCACAGACGGATCAGCTGTTTCCTTACCTTTCACCAACAACAAAAACAGCACTCAGACTCCGAGAGGGGAGGGAGAAGAATGAGCGCGAGGACTTCTGGGATTTGTGGTTCCTCCACGGTCTTTTACTGGGGAGCTGACTTGGATCTGGGACTACATATCCCAGGAGGCTGTTGGGCAAGGAGGGCGGAGAGGAGGGCGGTCGTGGCGGCGGCCTCACCAGTGCATTCTGGGAGACGTAGTTCTCACTTCCATGACAGCAAACGAGGGTGTGGCCATCAAAGGACTTCACGGCCCATGATTCTTTAGGAGGGGGCAGGCTGTATTAGTGGTGACTGAGGGTTTGTAACGTGCGTAGTTGGGGGGTGGGGAGGAGTTAGGGCTTTAACGCCCGCGGTGTAATACTTTACAGTGCGACGAGCGACTTCAGATGCACTTTTTCGTTTACTTTTAACAAGTTTTGAGATAAATAGTATTGTTTTACACACTTTATTGAGGGGTAAACTAAAGTGGGAAAGGTTAAGGAACCGGTTTAAAATATCAAAGTTATGAGATGGTAGAACACCAGGCTTGCATGTCTGTCTGTAAACGCCGCGCTTGCCACGACTTCACAGCCACCTGCCATTTAAGGGATGGGAAGCTAATGGCTGTGCTAGCAGTTTCTTCTCTGTTTCAACCTCAGGGACAGCCTTGTAAAAACTACGTGTTGTGCACCTCTATTTACTACTTGAGGGTGTCAGTGCTGGGCCTGGCAATAAACCCCTCGACTGGGTCCCCCGAGAGTGACCTAGGAAGAGGGTCTATTGCCGGAGGGGGCGGTGGGGGCGGGGTGGGAGGGAGGAGGTGAAGTAGAAGAATGAAATTGGAAAGGGAGCCTGGCGTAATTCAGGACCGATCACAACTCACAAACAAGCCACTTACTGGGGCCAGTTTGCCCAAGCCTTTAAATTAATTAGGATAACAATACAAGTTGTTGCTCCTGTTTTTGTTTAGGAGAGTTGAAAGAGTCACACTCCTCCCACACCCCAAGTTAGGTAAAAAACTTGGGCATCATGTCCTCTCTGGGCCCTCCAAGTAGTCAGGCATTCTATGATCTCTTTCCCAGTCTTTGTGTTGGGGGATTGATTTGCTCTTTCTGGGTCCCTGCTTATTCCAAGTTTTTTTTTGTGGGGTGTATTTTTTGTTGTTATGACTGAATAGGGTGTCTGGTGCCTGTCCTGTGTGCCTTTCATCTGAAGATCTCCAAGCACTTAACTATAAGTTACTGGGCTTCACAAACACTGAGACACATCCGTATAATTAGTCAGGATTTATGAGTTACAAGCCACTGGATGAGCTCAAGGTCCTAGGGTAAGTTAAGAGTGAGGTCCTCTTACAAAACAAAATAAAAGACTTGAAAAAGAAGAAGAAGAAGAAGAAGAAGAAGAAGAAGAAGAAGGAGGAGGAGGAGGAGGAGGAGGAGGAGGAGGAGGAGGAGGAGGAGGAGGAGGAGGAGGAGGGGAAAGGAGGAGGAGGAGGAGGAAGAGTGAGGCCTGTTCAGAAATCCAAGTCCCAAGTGTTCTTGGTTTGGTTTATCTTACACCCAGAGTAAATGCAAGGGAGAAAACTCAGTCTCAGTCTCAGTCTCAGTTTCAGCTAGGACTGAAAATAATAACTTCCATGGGTTATTATTGGGTCCTACAATTATGTGTTTAAACTATGCTGAGGTTTTCTGTTTAATACAATAATAGCCTTATATAATAACCCTTCCCTCATTTTACATATGATGAAGATGAGGCACAGAATATTAAGTGAATTAACTGATTTGCCTAGGGTCATCCTACTAGTAAATGGTAGAATCAGGATTCAAGCATAAGTTGCCAGTACACCACAGTAGTAGTAGTAGATACACCATACTCCCACCCCAGGAACTCCTGGTATGTGATACTAAATTCCATTGTTCACTGTTAGGGGCAGACATATCAATAGAATAGTGTGGACTAACTATAATTATAAGAAATATTAATCATGTTCTGTTAACCGTGATTGTTCTATCCTGATTAGAGAAAGCACATTCTAACCTGGCTGAAAGTTTACATGGTAGTTTACATCAGAATGCAGTCCAGCCTTTTCTGAGAACTACCTATACAATCTGGTCCTGGAGGTACCTGCCATTTGCGACCACCAGCCCACACTGCCTGGCTCAAGCAGTGACAGGCATCCCAGAGCCATTGGTTGTCCAGTTTCAGAACTGAACTGTGTTGTTATTCAGGGAACAAATGTTCACTGAATATTTATGTGCAAGGCATGAGGTTGGAACAGATTCATTTGACAAATACGTGTCAGGTACTATGGTAGGTATTCATTACATTTTGTTGAAAGGATGAAAGTATAGATAGTTGAAGGATGGATTGGATTTGGATAGTTTGGCAGGACAAGGACTATGAAGGATGAAGCAGGTTGAAGCAGATTCAGATGTGGGAATGTGTAATGTTTACTAGAGTCTAAGAGGTCACTTGAGAACAGCACATCAATTTTAACTTTTTTCCTCCTAAATTCAGATTATTGGTAATTGCTGCCTGAAATATTATGTTGAAAAGGTTCACTTAACCAAATAACTCAAAGTCTATTGAATTCTGGAATTAATTAGTAATGTCTGTCACGTAATTCAGATAGAAGATGGCAGTCGTAATAGGTTGACTTATTGTTTGAAATAATTTCCTTCCTTGCCCATTGCTATGTAACTTGCAGTATCTCATTTCACTGACTTTGGACTTGATTGTGTTTCATACCTTGGCCAATGGGATGTGAATAAATGGGACTCATGCCATGTTTGAGCATGTGAGTTTCTATTTTTCTTGTTCTTGTTTGCCACCAGAATGGGTGTGTTCCACAGGAGACTGGTTCCCTCTACCTGTGTCCTGAAATCAGAAAACCCACAGGACAGAGCGGGAGCCTGCTCACAACATACATAATAAGTCATAAGTAAATCTTTGCTGCTATAAGCCACTGAGATTTTTGGGATTGGTTGTTACTACAGCAAAGCTGACTAATAATCATACCTGGAAAATGGTATCAAGTTTGAAAGGTAAATGGTATCAACTTTGAAAGATCAAGTTTGAAAGATAAATATAAGACAGAGTGCAGAGCATCTTGAATGCCAGAGCCTGGCTATGTATTCATCAAATTTCTTTACTTCTTTTTCTTAGACACATACCTGGCCCACATTTTCGGTTTCTCTTTAAGTAATTTGTTTCACTTCCAGGCTTGGCCCATGAAAACCTCTCAAGAGAGATCCTTCATGTTCTTTCCTTTCTGGCTTGATGCCTATGACCTTAAGTACAGTGACCTTATGTTAAAGATGATGGGGCCACAGGTTGGAAGGAATCTGGCTCCCTTAATCACCACTGGCCAGAGAACTATCTGCTAATCATCAACATGCGTTTGGGACTTCACCTAACCAATAATTATTTCTACTTGCTACACCACTAGAATTTTGGTCTTTATGTTTTATAGTAAATAGTGTTTTATCTTTAAAAGAATTTATTTTTGTTTATTGATTTGAGAAAGAGAGGGAGGGGGAGAGAGAGAGAGAGAGAGAGAGAGAGAGAGAGAGAGAGAGAAAGAGAGAGAGAGAGAGAGAGAGAGAGAGAGGAGAGAGAAATATTGACTTTGCTGTTCCACCTATTTATGCAGCCATTGGTTAACCCTTGTATGTGCCTTGACTG